GGGCGCGCCGCCCCGCCGGTCCCGCGCTTCTCGGTGCCCGCGGGTGAGGCGGGTCAGGGCTCCGAGCCTTCCCCCGCCGCCTTTTTCAGCGGTTCTGCCACGTGGGTCTAAATACAAAGCAGAAAAATACCCCAAGAGCTAGCGAGTCTGATTTTGAAAAATAATCTTACATTTTATTGAAGATTGGATGCCAACCACATTGAAGTTCAGTCACCTCTTCGCTGCTATCCCGGGACACAAGTGTTACGTTTCTGTCCAGTTGCTTGGCTTTTCTATTTTTGTGGCGATGCTCTCCTATTTATATACAAAAAGGCTCTAAGTAAAACCTTGGGTTTTTCCCACCTTCCAGACCACGCCGTAATCTTCTCAGGCACCCTACGTGACCTCGCTTTGTTTGTTCTCCCAGGCTTATCTCGTACAGATCGATAGATCTGCATCTTAGCTTTCACTTTCTGTGCCTTGCAGTCGGACTGCACCTTGGTCTTTTCCGAATTCCGTCTCCTCTGTGTATTTTTGATAGAGCGTACGCTCTTCGTGCTCTGTTTTGAACAGTTTCAGTGCCTGATGAGTGAGGAGACAAAAAACCCAAACCAACGCACTCTGGTCTGATTTTTAAATCCTCCAGCTGTGGGGTCTCTGCGCTGGACAATGCACATCCCGTTCTATTTAAATTCCATGTAAACACAAGTGCTGGGTTTTGGAGGCCCGATCGCTTACAGCTGCCTTCCAGCATTCAGTCCTGAAGGGTGGAGTTAAGAGGCAACCCTTATGAAAACAGCTTTTAAAAATATGTAAGCCCAGTAATCCACTTGGACTGGATAAGGGACAAGACAAGGGGCAATGGCTTTAAACTAAACCAGGGTAGGTTTAGACTGGATCTAAGGAAGAAATTCTTTACACTGAGGGTGGTGAAACACTGGAACAGGTTGCCCAGAGAGGGGGTGGAGGCCCCATCCCTGGGAACATTCCAGGCCAGGTTGGACGGGGCTGTGAGCAACCTGATGTGGTTCAAGGTGTCCCTGCTCCTGCAGGGGGGTTGGGCTGGGTGACCCCTGGGGGTCCCTTCCCACCCAAAACATTCGATGATTCTATGATTCTATGATAAGGCTGGGGTGTACTTTTCACTAGATGCCTCCACTGCTTCATCCCACAGCCCCTCTGCTGAAGATCAGGGTCAGGACAGTCACGTCCTGTTTCCTCCTTGGAGACAGCATGGCTTCATGGAGCCAAAGAAAAACAAGCGTTACTAAATTTAAGCCTCAAGCTAAACTCCGGGTTCCTATAGAACCATCTTCATACCATGGCCGTTGCAGCTGTCTCCCTTCCACTGTGTTTTCAGCTGGTTCAAATGCCTTTCGGGATGGAGGAGCTCGGGCAGTCACAGTTTCAGCACATGCTGATTCACTGCTGTTTAAGGTAGGCCGCTGTTAGCAATGTTGACATAACATTTTAGCGTTCTCCCTTTTGACTGCCTGTTACTGGCTTACTGAACAGCGGTCGGTGTCTGAAACGCTGCACAAAGGACTCCGGAGCAGTTTAAGGCCATGGAACAATCTTAGAGAACTGATGCTCTTGAGAGGCTTCCTTGAAGAAGTCCAGCGGTGGATGAAAATGGCTAGAAGAGTACAAAAAAAGGCAAGAGAAGGTTGTGGGAGGAGACCATGCTGTATTTCCAAATAGTAACACTGTTTTAAGATCTAGTTGTATTTTCAGAGGGCATTGCCAAACTAGTACAGGAGCAGGGAAGAATCCTCAAATCCTCTTCTTTCAAATAGATATTAAGAATTACTGTTCTATTTTTACAGGTTATCTTATGAATGAAAGAGCTGAACAGATTGTTCATGAATTCTAGAGGGCACCTAGGTTGAAGCCATGGAGAGAATGGTACTAGTATGCACTTTATTTTTAGACTGTAAAAAGACATTGATTTCAAGGGAAAAAATTGTTCTTTCTGATTGCAGGAAGTAGCAGCAAATGCAGGAGATAAACTCTTAGGCAATTCATAAACTCCTAATGACTCGGTTCATTTCAAACCTTACAGGGGGCCGCAAGCTGTGATCACACACATCATTTCCTGACGATATCTGGTACATGGCCAGGCTTCACAGAATGCCCACTGTTGTAGCTTGTTTTACAAGCACTTTGCTGTGACTTATTTTGTTGGGAGACCATGCACCACAAGCCTCTTGCTTCGAGGGTCTTGAAGTTTCTGCTTATTTGCTGAATCCGGCTTCTCATGTGGAATTTGCTTCACAGGAGCTGTGGAGATGTCTCGTAAGAGCCCTTTTGCCTCCTGGCTTTGTGCGATGCTGCACTGCTTTGGAAGTTACATACTGGCTGATCTGTTACTTGGAGAATCACCTATTGATTACTTCAGTAATAACTCCAGTGTCATCCTGGCCACAGCAGTCTGGTGAGTCTTTTTGCGCGTCACCTAATTTAATTAAGCACGAGACGCCGCTGGCTGTGTACGAAACCCCCCCCAGTGTGAAGGGAGGTATTGCGATTGTGTGACATGCGTTATCTTGCTTGGATTAACTGGGGAAAGAAGAGGTGGGGTGAGGTAGTCTTTGAGTCTTTTGTATTCCTAGATCTAGTTTCCAGTTTTCTGACCAGTTGTCTAACGCTTTGGGTTGGGTCCAGGCCAATCGCCGGGTATTTCTATTCATAGCTGCCGCAGCTGAACCGTGGCCAAACAGCAAAAGCAGCGTGCGCTGCACTGTTACCACATATAGTAGAGGAGTGGCACACACTCAAGATTTGGGGGCATTTTATTCATCGTGTTAGTGAAATGTGCGCAAATTAACCAGTTACTCCAAGCTTAATTTCCTCGGTGCGTATGGGTTCTACGTGCTTTTGCATGACAGAACCAGCATTTCCTTTGCCCTGACGTAATTCAGGCTAACACCGTGGTACTCTTAATCCTCGATATATGTCCCAGATCAGGACAGACCAATGGGTCCTTAAACTCTTTGTGGTTTAATTCCAGGTATTTGATATTCTTCTGTCCCATGAACCTCTTCTACAAGTGCGTTAGCTTTCTGCCTGTGAAGCTCATCTTTGTGGCAATGAAGGAGGTGGTCAGAGTTCGCAAAATTGCAGCTGGGGTCCACCACGCTCATCACCGTTACCACCACGGGTGGTTCATTATGATGGCTATCGGATGGGTCAAAGGTGAAATGTCAGATTCTCTTCTGCAGCAGGGAGGCACCCAGCCCTGTGGGGAGGGACGGGAGAAGCTGTGAGTGAGGCTTAAGGTGACCCCACCACCGAGCGCTGACCGGCAGGGCTGGTTAGTGGATGTGGTCAGCTGGCTTCAATCCATCGAGTTCCCTAGAGCGCAGGGGTTTGTTCATACTTGCAGAAGGGCTGTCAGCTGAATCATCATCTAACTTCAATGGAGGCATGAGGAACAGGAGTCACTCTGAAATGTGGGTGTAGAATTCAGGAATTCTTTATTCTTTCTCCTGTGTTCTACTGTCTCTGGCCTCACCCGTATCTTTTCAGGGGGGGTTCTTCCTTTAGCTTTTCTTTGGAGCAAGCATTTGAGCATCAGTAAATGGAACAGAGGCAAATGCCCTTTCCTTGCATCAAGAATCGCTTCATAGAAAGTCTAGAAAGTGTTTGCCCTGCTCTGTTGTTTTAGGCTAACTTCCTTCACATTTGGGAAGCATGTCATGGACATTTTGTTCCCTTTAGGTTATCCTTATCCCTTGGGGGTCTAGAAGAGACAGCAGAGCTCTCTTCTGCTGTGGCACTTCTAAGCTGTTCATGTTTACTGCTTCACAGGTTCTGGTGTTGCCTTGATGTCTAACTTTGAGCAACTGCTGCGTGGGGTCTGGAAGCCAGAAACAAACGAGATTCTTCGTATGTCCTTGTAAGTAGGTAGCCTGTAAATTCTCTGTCAGACCAAAAATGGAATTTAAAGAACCATTCAGGACTGGATGCAAACGATGCAAGCCGCCTAGAAAACTTTTTCTTTCTCTTCTAGCCCTACAAAGGCTAGTCTGTATGGCACAGTCCTCTTCACTCTGCAACAAACTCACTGGCTCCCCGTCTCTGAAGCCAACCTCATCTTCTTTTTCACCATGTTCATGATAGTTTGCAAGGTAAGTTTACAGCAGGTTTGCTGCTATAACAAATGTACAGAACCAGAGAAAGGGTACAGAGTTATACTGAGGGTGCTCACCTTCCTAAGCCACTACTGAAGGCATTGGCTGTACGTACCAGGGAAGATCTGCTCAGGAAATTATAGGCTAAATTCTCTGTCATAGAGGCAATATGGTTCTTGTGATCCTTGTGACAGAGCCTTCAGTCCTGTAGCAATAGGGGCTTTTATCTGGGGTAAGTGGAACGCTCCTTGCTAGTTAGTATTTCATAGCTGGTGTACGTGATCTTTAACTTTAAGTATTCATTGTTGCATGGCAGGTTTTCATGACGGCAACTCACTCTCACGCCTCACCTTTTGCTCCGGTGGAAAGCTTCCTCTGCCCAGTTTTCTTTGGCTCTGTTTCCAGTGGACACAGTAGTCATCATCATCATCATCATCACCATGATCAGCATGGGGCCTCCCATGAGGCTTCCCATCCTCCGCCTCCTCCTGCAAAGTCAAAAGAGGAGCTAAATGAAGGCACAAGGAAACGGAAAGCAAAAAAAGCTGAATAAAAAAGTAGGCACGCAGTAAATAGGCCAAGAAAATTCTTCCAGAGCTGAGTCTCAAAGCCAGCTGTGACCTCCTTTATCCTCCAGTCCTTCTCTCTCAGACTCCAGAGAAGAGGTGGAAGCCAAGACACTGCCAGGCGGGTCCCTGCATTTCATTTGTGCTCTCTGTGCTGCTGCTTGCTTCTTGGTCTCTGTCTCTCTAGTCTGATCATATTTTCAGGGATTTGTAGATTTGTGCCAGGATGATAAGTGGGTGCCAGTTCCCAAGCTGTCAGCAATTATGATGCAGCATTTTCAATTGACAAAAAAATCTTTCACTGTGTTTGTTTATGAATGGAGGTAATGGTTTGTGCTTCTGCAACTCATAAGTTCCTTTGAGTTTTCATTGACCTTTTTGATGTCTACTAAAACAACAAACTGTTTAGACACAATCAATGTGGAAATTGGATTTCATACTCAAGGAAATTAAATGGTCTCATATGAGCCTGATCTGATTTTTCCTAGCTCCCACATCTGCCATATCTCCAACTAATGTGACATTTTATATGCAATAAGGACATCGACTCTGGTGTCCTGGCTGAACTCCGTTTCTCTCACCTCAGTTCCCTCCGATTCCTAATGGACAGAGCTAAGTCTGGGTTTGCAAGAGCTTTGAAGCTGTGAAATGCTCCGAGTACGATGTATTGGTACTGTTGTTATTCTAAACTGTTGTGTAGCGTTGCTGCACGTTGTTAATAACGGCGTGTCCCACCTCAAACCTGATCATATTGAACTAGGGAAGAAGCATGGTTCTGGTTTGTTTGTAATCCTGTGGGACACAAGAAGGGTGTGTGAGTGTAAATAAGTATTTATTACTATTTATTTATAATTGCCAGGGCACCGAATTCATGGACCTGAAACTGGCTTTTTAAAATGTTGCATCTTTATATAGACAATTGGATACTTTGAAGTTCGGTCCTAAGCCTGCAGCTACATGCTGGCCTGTGCTCGAAGCAGGGATTTTGGTGTGCTAAAGGACAGCCTGAATGCTCAACTGGATGCAGGAAGGAACATTTCCTATATTCTTAAGTTAAGATATAAAGGCTGAAGAAGCGGATTTCACACCAGCTGATTAAACCTACTTTAAAGGACTGATAAAAGTGCGCCAGCTGAAGATACTGATTGTAGGTTTGTAGGTTCTTTGTAGGTTCCTTACAGCCAAACCACCGGTCTGTGAAAGCAGCTTGTGCCCAATGAGTGAGGAAGAATATGAAATGCCTTGCATGGCTCAGGGAGGAGTCTGTCAGTCCGTTCATGTTCTGCTTAGTGAATACTGGCTTTTAGACTAGTTTTAAGCTGTTCTTATACCTGATTTTGTTCTTAAAAGTGTCATCTTAAGCATTGTACCCAAAAGGTCAGAACTTGTTCTGAGGTTTTTTTAATTGCCAAGGGCTGGGATCGCTGCGGTGAAAATGGTGTGCATGGGGATGTAGCCCTGGGCTCTCAGTTGAGCGGGATGTTGCCATCCCTAGCAATAACGTTTGCTGCTGTCATCTGGCAACTGGGAATATAAATAGGAGAATGTAAGAAAAGCTTTTGTGTGTGTGTGTGTGTCCCCATTCAAAATTGACGGTCAATTAAAAAAAAAAAATTTAAAAATTCCTTGTATACAACCAGATGAAAGCCAGTACAAAAGGTCAAATGATTTGTGGGCTTGGGTTTTGACAGTGCCTTAATTTTGTGAGTTTGCCTCCCCTTCAGTAGAAAACAGGAATTCTGACAACTCCACTGTCTGGTTTTGCAGATACTGGTCTACTGAAACCTGATGTATCACTAGCATGCACAAGACTATAAATGTTTCATGAGATGTCTGATTCAAGGGGAATTTTGTTTTATAAAAGCCGTCAACAAATAAAAATTGTGAAGTGACTCTGACTGTAACCACTGGCACTTGAGGCAACGTGCGTGTTTCTTTTACTCTAGCCAGACTCAGAAGCCACAGGCTCCTCGATCCACTTAAAGTCTCCTCGGCCTGATGACAAAGTGATTCTAACTGAAGATCAAACTTTGATATGTCCCACAGGTTTGCCTGAGCAGGAATAACATGGTACAAGGTCCATTGCTTTTGTTGTATTTGTAGTGTTGTCATCCAAGCAGACTTTGAGATTGCAGGGAGGGAAATAAGGAAACTTCCTTCGGCGTTTATACCAGCTGGCTGTCTTTCCTTTTGTCACTGTAACAGGAAGGAGGACATTCACCTAGGGCAGGTAAATATACACACACAATTCTAGCATATATATATGTATATGAAGTCTCAGTATTTCTACTTAAAACTAAAAAAAATCAAAATGCTTTGAATAAGTGTGAATATTTACTTAGCATGGTACTGTTAGCTGCTTTCTAAGTGCCAGAGTCCTTGCGCTTCAAAGTCTTTCAGATTAAGTCAAATCATAGCTGCTAACCAAGAACAGATAGGAGAAATATTCCGAGAGATGTTAAAATTAAAGCTCTGTACACCTTCCAAGTACCTTATCTGGAATGGGATTAGCGTTGAGAAGACAACTGCCATAAAGGAGAGTCAGAAGTTTCATTTAGTGAAGCCTTTCATAGTGAGAGATAAAGAACCGTCCTTGAATTTCCATGGCTCAGCACTGGTAGTCTTTGGTACAATTCCAGACAGGCATCCTTCATCCCAAGAAGCAAAGATGGATCTTTCAATAAGCAGCAAGTTTTAACCATTCTTGCAGGGACAGAGGGTTCCACAGGGCTGCTGCTACACTTCTGGGAAGCCCTAATTTACCTGTACGTATGCTTCTTCCTTAAGACTTTGCTCCAATCAGAATGAAAATGGTAGCTGGGCGTTTCCTAGAGGGATGGAGCAAGCTGCTTCCATGGCACAGAGATGGGAGTGATGGGGAAAACACGACGCAGCCCATCTACCTGGCTCACAGGACCTGCAAAGGGCTATTTATTTTCTGAAGGGTTTTGCTTGTCTCCCCCCAGATCTAACTCTTTTAAAATGTTTATTAATACTCCTTAATTTATCAGAGCAGTTGAGAATACAAGTTGCTTTGGAGTGTGGGATTTGAAGTCTCTGTATGACCCAACCAATGAAAAAAGGGATCAGTGCAAGCTTTGAAAAAAACCTCAAAAAAAGCGCACTAGAACGTTTGATGTGGTTTAACCACTCTCCTCTCCCGTGACATCCATTTCAGTGTTAGGAATAAATTTTGCTCAGGACCTGGATGGAACAAGAAACAAGAGCAGACTGATGAGAGGAGGTATTTTGTGTGCTTTGAAAAATCCTACGACGTCTCAAGAGTCCCATGCTGTGCTGGCTGTGCAGAATGTTCCCGGCTCCAAACTCTGCCGCAGCACAGGGCAGGAGAGAAGCTTAGACTTCCACGGGACAGACGTCATTCCCTCCAAAGATGTTCTGATCTGATAACTCCTGATACTCTAGTCAGATGCAGCTAAGTTTAGCAATAGGTTTAATCCTCAAAGAGGCCCTGGTTGCCTGATGGAAAAAGCAAAGTGTTTCAGTTGCTGCTGTCAGCATTTCCTGTTGATTGACAGGTTTCCCTTTTCTGTTACACAGAATGAGCCAAACCCAGTGTCCACAGCTTTTTCACAGTTGCAGATCAACTTCACAGATAGGGAAAGCTCTGCAGCCCTTACTGTGTTCATAGAAAAAAAAACCCCATAGGATAATTTTACAGAAAACATTAATAATTCTTCACAGTAAATGAACTGAAGTAAAAAACACAGGAGGCCAAAGGACGGAATTTCTATGCTGAAAAGCTTGTGTGAGAAAGGGCAAAGCCAATCCAACAGAGTGCCAAGCTAGAGCAACCGGTGTTCCTGTGTTCCCCTTTTCCTTTTATTATTAACGCCAGCATGTACATTCTTCCACATTTTGTCCAATGAGTAACCAAATTATATAATCCAGCTAAGCGGAAAGACCCAGAGGATAAGGATGGATGTTACCTTGGCCATCTCCTGAGCAGCAGAGAAGTTGGTCCTTTTAACGCTTGCCAGGTGATGAGCAGCCAAACGCCTGCTGCTTCTTCCTGCAGCCCGTTTCATGGCTGTACGGTGCTTTAAAGGTGCAAAGCACTAGATCAGTGCCGAGAGTGTCAGTCTAAATAGCACATGGAGCACATAGAAGCATTCAAAATTACAGCTTTATGCATTTCACAGTCGCGCATCTTTATTTGGGCCCCTAACTATAATTGTCTGCTTTACGGTTCTCGTGCTATTCTTTAAAGGACCTCGCTGGCTACCGTAAGACACGAGACTGATGATTATATGGAAGGTAAGGCTGGCACAGCATGGCATTTCCTACCACCTTAGATATCCAGCATTTTCCCGCAGCAAGGCTTTTTCTCTCAAGATATCTTAGTTCTTTACCAAACTAATGAGAAATCAGAAGATACATTTATGAAAGATTTTCTAGAAAGCTCACAAAGGTAGTTTGGATTTAATATGAGCTTCTTCCATCTCTACAAAGACAGGACACTGACAAGGCAAACTACTAGCAATGGAGAAAATACACTGTCGATACCAGAGATGAGGTATTTGCCTCTTTAGGATGCTCTTGCTATTGGCCCCAGGGAGACCTGGTTTGTCCCATGTGCCCATCCACAGTAAGGAAAGGCCAATTAAAGGGGTTTGCATTTCATCAGACACCAACAGTGTGGTTCTTGGTAAACACCCACAATATTACCTTCCAGCTAAGAATTTAATCCTGCTCTCATGTGGTCTGTAAGGCAGCGGTCTGTGAGCAAGCTGTTGGGGGATGATGGCTCACGGAACAGACAGACGGTGAGAACACAAGTTCCCTATCGTGTCAGAGCCCACGCTGCCATCGTGACTCACAGTTGCTACTCACTTCAGCTCTGTGATGACATTTCTGACAAAAAGGAGATGTCAATAGTGCTAAGATCAACATTCACAAATATCTTTCAGCCTGGTCTCTCTTTTACACTGGTGCATTTGCATCTTTCACACATTATCTCCAGAAAAAGTACCATTTATAATATTTCTATAATGACTCTTAGTGGTTTCCTTTATGTTCCAAAAGAGAATTTGGGGAGGAAATTTTTTAGAGAGCTTGCAGGTGTAACCTAGGAAGAATCAGTGTGAGACAGTTGATTTCACTGTAGCTTTAGGGCACAGGTAGGCTATAGATGTGGAATGCAGGAAAACAGGTCTGGTATGTTTTGAGGCTTGAACATTTTTATACCCTGAAGAAATCCACAATGTTCCTGGAAAAGATTTGATTGGTTGATTTTGTTTGGTTTTGATCTGCAAATTACAGAAAGCTCACCAGAAACCTGAACACACATAAATTATCCCAAGCCCCTGATGCTTCTCAAGCGAGCTGGCAGATCTTGACTTGCCAAAAAAAGATCTGCTAGCTGGGGACTTCTGGTCCCACTGCAACCAACTGCTTGAATCAGCGAGCGAGCTAATTTTCTTTCATTTGTTAGTGACAAGAATTGGTGCAACCAGCAATAATGACAGGTACACGCAGTGTGAGATGCATATAGTACGTCACAGATTGTGGCACCTTGAAGAACAGTCTAAAAATCCATGCCTTTAGAGTCCTAATGTTGGCTTAAATTAGATTTAGACTAATGTAGGCTAAACCCTAATGCAGGCTGTCCGTAATGTTTGTCTCTTAAGGTAAGACGATTCATCTCCCTGTCTCTTTGATTTATGATAGATGAGGATGTTGGTTAATCTCTTATTTGGCTAGATGACTGTGGAGATTATTTAAGTATTGTCTGCAAAAGGAAGCCATAAATACAGATTACTAATTTTTCTTTAATTATTCCTCCCTATGCCAGAGGGATACAGAGGGAGGACAGACGAGGATAGACACCAGCCTCTTAAATCTCATTTCATGAGAGAAACAGAAAAACCACAGCAGCTGGTCTAGCTGATACTGGTTTTCTCTGACATGCTCAGTTCAGTTTCCTGGAAAAGGCAAAAAGCAACAGAAATTGTAGATTATGGTCTCCCACAAGAAAATGTGGAAGCAGAAGGTGGTTCTGAGTGAGTGAATCTGCTTTGCTGGTACAGCACCATCTCTGTTTCCACAGGACACGGAGAAAGCAGCATTTCTTATGGGAAAAGTGATACTGAACAAATACAGAAACACCTATTGAAGCAAAAGGAAACGGCACGTGAAGTGCTGTGAATACTGGAAAACAGACCAGCATGGAAGGCAGACACTGAGAAGCATGCTCTGAACGTGAGGTGGAGACACCTATTCCAACAGGGCCTCTGCCGAGAGGGCTGCAGCAGTTACCTCCTCTCCCTGTGCATTCCAAGGGCATTTGGACAAAGATGTTATTTTTCCACTTGTTCTCTGTGGATAGCTTCCATTTCCTGCCTTTGAGCTTGTAAATTATTCAATTTTTCTTTCTACCTTTTCCCATGTGCTGTTTTTTTGGGGATGGTACCCCCGTCCAGACGTAGCCATAAAGTAGTAAATATTTCTTGTGCACAGTTTAAACGCCTTAGTAAATTCACCCTTGCACAGCTTGACAGAAGGCAAAGGGTGACAGGGCATAGGCATAGTCCCTGGGTATTAAGGAACCTACCTTAAATGGCTGAGTGCCTGAACCGTAAGTGATAGTAGTACAGGTAGGCTTACCCGATGCTAAAATACACAGATGAGTATTTCTAAAATAGTCAAGGGTAGCGAACAAAGGGACCTCAGGTGTACACACAGCACCTGCAGGGAGCACATTTAGTGTCTTCAAAAAAGATCCTGGGGATTCTGCCCAAGTGACAAACACCGGTTGCTATAGAGATATCTGTCCTCTTCAAATACAGACGGATCGCTCCAGGACGCGGTGAAGTTTCACTGCATCTCAGTGCAGACAGTCAATCATCTCCTACTGTCCCTGTCAAAGTAGCTGAAATTTTCCCAGGCTTTCCTTAAAAGAAGGAGCTTTCTGGAGAGCAGCACCACTGACGTGTTCAGTGCCGTTAGTCATCTCCTCTCTAACGAGCAGTCTCTGCTGGGGAGAACTCAGGGAATCCAGATACACGCCGGGATCTTCTCTGTGGGAAGATGGTTCCTCTTCCGTTCCAGCCCTCCAGCAACATTCATCAGCTCAGTTTTTTCAGGTAAATAAGCTGAAAAATCCAGGTCCTCTCTCTGCTAGAGTCTGCAAAGCGTTACGATGTGGTGAGACCACTGTGCTTGGCAGAGAAGCTGTAAGCTTGCAGCTTCATTTGAAAGTGAAGATGCCTATAATCTGCTGCCTTTTATATACAGCTTTATTCTGTCCCACCCAATTTGCACTTGGAACATGTCAGAGATGGCAGAATTCTGCATTAATTCAGGAACTAACGGCATTTGCAGTGAAGCCAAATTCAGCCTAGGCACTACTGTGCAACAGCAGCTCAGTGCAGCGCAATGCTGGTCTGCACACCACACAGCAAAGCATGCAGGCTTTCTCCAAACCCCGAGCAACACACATTTGATTCCCATCCACCACTGTAACAGCAAGAAATATTTGTGAAGAACTTCTCTTCTTGGACAATATCCAACTATTTCCCACTTCCTCTGCCTACTGGGACACAGTTGCCAGACTGAGCTCCTAAAGTAACTGGCAGTGGGTAGCAATGACTCAGATTTTCAGGAATTACAAAACTCCATTTCCCCTTCTTCTGAAAATCATTCACCCTGTCTCCATTTTTAAATAAGAAAACATAGGCTTAGATGGGCTCTCAATTGCACAAAAAGTGCCTTCCAAAGAAAGCAAACACTGCAGCATCCCCCCCAGTAGGAGATAACACGATGAATATGCTGTTTGGACAGTGAGGTGTTTCCAGCCTAAGCATTTACAGGTCAGAATTTACAGAAATGGTTACAGCTGCAGTTTCTGGAAGGAATGCATGAGAACTGCAGACAACCTGAAAGTAGCAGGCATATGAGGACACAGCTGGTGTTAAGATTTTATTTGCAACACCTGTCCAAGTTGTGGTAGACCTCCTGTATTTTCAGGAACGGTTTTGGGATGAAGGATGTGATTGGATTTTTAGAAAAAAAAAAAAGACAGGATTGTAAGTCAAACCCACTCTCTCACTGCAAAGTTTGGAATTCATGTGGGCTGGAGTGTAAAGCGATACAAGGATTTCCCGTAACTACTGCAACCTTCGTGAGAGCTAATGAATTATTCCAGGGATATTACGCTGAGAGTGCTTGCTCCCCGTTGGACAGTAGTGTAGACACGATAATTCCTAACCCAAGGGAGCCCTCTCCTCGTCTGACACTGGCACAGACTTCATTAGTGATCACTTTTCACTTACAACAGTCCCAAGGAAAGCTGCAGATACAGCCATTCCACGTCCTAATTTTAGCATTCTCTCTTGTACTACTTTATCGCATGATTATGTAGTGCCATGAATGTTTACATAATTTGGGGGAGAGAATATTCCAGTTCAGAAGAAATTACAATCTCACATGACAAAACATACGTAAGGAGAAAAACGTCCTTTATATTCCCCATGTCTTTCAATTTGGCAGGTGTGAAAAGTGCCCGTGAATGTAAGACCCGTGTATTAGGGAACAGCAGAGAGTGCGTGCGTGCAGGCACTGGGCATGAGCACTCATGCTTGTATTCAGGTGCTTACCTTTTCTCCTACTTGCTTTGTCTTAATTTATCTTAAATTTACCTAGTTTGTTGTTTGATTTAATTCAGTGAGTAAGTCACTTAAAAGGTGTCACAAAGATTTTTCTAGAAAGCGGTAATCTCTCTTGTAAAAAGCACAGCAGGGGAAGCAGCCATAAAAATTTCACAGACTTGACTCTGTATGAAAAGATTCCCTGTGGGTAGAATTGCCTTTTATTGTGCCTATTTATCACTGCTGAGATGGCCAACAGTGTGGCTGAGTGGTCCTAAAATAGGACGGAGGATTTGCCGCAGCAAGATGTAAGAAATATACTTTGCTGGATCAATGCTGCTCTGTTGTATTCTGTAACGATGTAATCCAAAATTTCCAGATCCAGAGTTTTCATATTAGCAAATAAAACCACAGTGGGACAAGCCAGTATAGAACCTTGAAAATGCACTCGCATTGGTAATGTAGTAACATGGGCACAAACCTGCAGAGATCTGGAAACCACGGTTTTACAAGACTTAACCACTATGTCATCTATATGAAAATCAACACCCATTAGATGATAGCAACACAAACTGCATTTTTGCTGTAAGGTCTAATGTGACACATAGACAAAGTAAAAACCCAGCTCCAAATTCCTAACTTCTGGTGTGCTGCACAAATCCTTCCATCCAGACATGGCTACAGAGAGACCCTCCTGGAGAAAGCATACCCAGAAGCAGGGCCTAGTGTTTGAGGTAAACCACTTCTCTCCTGCCTGTCCTGTCCAAAGGCCAACAAAACTGTGGGACACAGGAGAAAAAAACCCCAACAAAATGCTCATAGGTTTTCCATCTCTTTAGAAGCCTCCTAGGTGTCAAATACTGCCGTACCAATTTCCTAGAGCTTTTGGATTAAGTATATTTCTATGCTTGAGTTGTATGGATTCCAGTGAAGAGTTAGGTGGCGAAGCATCTTCAAGCACCTGGACATGAGGGTTTACATCATTCTTTTGTTTCTATATTCAATTGGAAGAAAAGTTCATGGCATGTATGAATTCCACTGGATATATGTCAGGGATAGTTGAACTATTTTCACAGAACTTCCAGCATAAAAGGGGCTACTGGAATGTTGGGGATCATTAGCTTCTATGACAGAAGATAGGCTTCAAATGCTGCAGCAAAAAACCTACAGTCTTAAGATTCCTTGTCCTGAAAAACTAAGTTGCTTACTTGGTCATCCATGCTCCAAATCCCTAAGTCTTCACAGGAGAAATCCCTCCTGAGAGATTTTGAACATCTCGGTGCCTCTTGTAGAGTTCCAGTAATTAAAGTTGCGTACCACTAGTGTTCAGACTGATTGAAAAATTAAACACGATAGAATGACTTAATTTTCCCATGTCACTGTTTTTATGATAGTATTGACTAGTTTAAGAATCTTAAAAACAATAGTTTTGTATGGGTAATTGACTTGAGACACACTGTAAAGGCCTGAGGAACAGCTGCTGTAAAGCCCCTTCTCCCCTGTAAAGTCCCTTCTCCTCAACCATGGGGCAGGCTGGGACTTTGCTTGGCTGCCCCCATCCAGCATGGAAGCCACAAGGGTGCCGTGGTCACCAGCAGGTTTTCTGAGCAGCCCTCCCTGGCAATCCTAGGCGCAAAGGCAAGCAGCCAGTCCATGTCCCAGCTGTCACTGCAGAAGCGGTACCTGAATGCCAGACCTTTTTTGCCTGTTGCAGGGACTCCTGGAGGACCACTGTGGGCACCAGACTGTGCCTCGGCTCATTGCAGGGAAGGAATTTGAGGCCCTAACTCTGCAGCTGTCAGGGGACTCTTGCCCAGCTCCTGACATAGTGGTACTGGCAGGATGAGAACGCGCTGCCCACCTGCTATGTGCTGCAGCCGGCTGACGGGGAGCCTGGCATCGCCTGGACAGACGCTTGGCCTCAGCGCTGCGCATGGCAGCCCAGAAGGCAGAGAGGTGCGGGCTGCTCGGCCCAGAGCAGAGGCACTGCTACCACAAATCAGGTGTGTTCCAGCAGGACTGCAATGTCCTTCTAACCAGAGCTGTCAGGGAGAACAGCTCTTTGTTTCAAGACAACACCAGGTTGTATACAACAGGAAAGATGCAGGGAAGGAAGAGACTTGCTAACTTACCTGCTGTATCCTGAGAGGGGAGGTTGGTGCTGACTGGTAAGCAGTAACACACCAAACGATAGAAATGTTTCCCCCAGTCTCCCTGACCACATCCAGGAGTATGCCTAGCTCAGAGGAGATGGGGAATGCTGACCTGCTTGCATCATGTGAAATACAGAAGGACCAAGGGGTGTCACATTCACATTGACGGATGGCTTTTCCTGTGTTCTGTGTCCTCAATACCCAGGAGAGCAACTCATACCTGTAAGCTCTGGAGCAGGGCTTTGTGTCTCCAGACTGGTGGACAGGGTCTGAAATCAGAAGACAATGGAAATAATAAATAATGTTATTCAGTGCTTTCAATGATGACAAAGAGATGTTTGGGGTTTGTTTTTTTTTAAACAGGTATCTCCAAGCAAGGAGATCTGAAGTGATTTTACTAACTTTGTCATGTAGTCTTCATATATGTAAAAGGCTACTGCAACAAGGAAGGAACGAAGTTATTACATCTGCAGAAAGGCAGCCTGCCTTAGATTGTAGCAAGAAAAATTGAGAGTCATGAAAAACATTTCCTACTAACAGGAAGACAATGAAAGTCCTGGAAGGGCTGTCTGGCATACCATGGGATAGCATCTAGCACTGAAGTGCTGAAAGCAAACAGACTAATCCACAAGCCGTGTCTCAACTCCACTCTTCTGGTTACTCCCAGGTAGCCCCTCAGCCACTGTGGTTCCCTGACACTGTTGCAAATCTGAGGAAGTTGAGCCATTTCATTTGCCTAATGCTGGAGGAATTGAGGAGGTAAACTGGGATGTGCTGGGTAAGGACTGGGCAAGAGGGGGTATACAGTGCTCTGCAGAGGCATGCTTCGTGCCTATAGCCACAAGAACGAACCACAACCTTTCTGCGCAGCATCAACAACCACTGTGAGAAGGAAGCTTGAAAAAGAGAAATAAGCTAACTTTTATGAACCGTTATCCTAGAATTATCACCACACTCCTTTAGTAGCTGAAAGAAATTATCTGGATCCTCCAAACACTGAGAAGAAAACATATTAAAAAACCTAACAAAGCTGAAAAATTATCTGGATCCTCCAAACACTGAGAAGAAAACATATTAAAAAACCTAACAAATTAAAAAAATATATATATTTGGAGTGTTTAAGAGGCTAAAGAAGGAACTGTGACAACAGGAGCCCTCCACTTCCTCAGCAGATGCATCCTAGTTCCACTGCAGGTGGCTGTTAATCCTTCTGTCTGCTCCTTCCCCCCAAAACCATTTTTTTATCTCAGTCTTTTCAGAATAACTGCATTCTCAGGGCTGCTGTTCTCTGCTCTAATAGTATTTCTTTCTGCAGGGAATATGAACTGGATCAGCTGTAAAATAACTGCCTCTGGAGCAGAGTGTTGTTGATGATTTGCCATGTGAACTGACTGCATCAGCTCTCCAGACCTACGCCTTACGCGGGGACACTTTCTCTGTTTGAAGCCTGCAGTCAGTAATACACACAGCCCTGAAGGTAACAGCTATGTCAGAGTGACAGAGCGTGACGCAGATGTTTACCAGAGGAAAGAACTGGAATTTTTCTTTCCAAGTAAAAATACTTTTCTGAGGAATTACAGCCAGTGACAAAATTCTCTGTTCTGGGATCCATCAGAAGACTCATAAATGCCTCATTCTGGTAGGGCCTCTGCATGGGAACCTGAGGGTTTTTCTTTGTCGACAGACATTTTGTCTGTTTGATTAGAGCAGTTCACCACAACCAAAGCGTCCGCTGCCCCACATCTAGTAGCAGCACCTCTTAATCACCTGGGCTCCCTAGTTAGCTTTAACGCTTGCAAGAAGAGAGGGCACAAGTGCTGCTCCTCTGTCTTCTCTTCAGAACACCCACTCACTCCTCAGGGGAAAAGTCCTCCCACACCATTACATTTGCCCATGTTTTACGCTGTAGCCTTCCTTATGTTATTCAAGTGCCTGGCCAGATAAGGCCAGCTCAGTTCGTTACATACTGTACGTCACATAAAATACAACTACAGCAGCTCCCACAGGCCCACCACAGTCATGTTCTAAAACGTGGTTTTGTCTCTGCCCTCTTAGGAGCGTAACATACACAGAAGTGTTGGCCAGGCTCCTTTTTTTTGTCCCTTCTTACCCAGAGGTAATTGGGAAGCCGTGCCAGCAGTGGCCAAGCTGGTGCAGTGCCTGTACGCTATCCTGTTCTCATTCCACTGGGTGGATTTCTCCAGCCACCTGGAGGGCCCCTACGCACAACGCTCACCGGATTCCTCAAAGGTAGGATTAGTCCTGGAGAGAGATACAGCCCAAGAATAAATCTAATCATCCATCTGTTATGAATGAGATCCAAGAAACATAATAAATAAATAGAGCAAGAAGGAGAGAGAACATCTATTTCTGTAGAAACACATTTTTTTCCTGTGAGCTTACACAAAGGCAGGAAAAAGGTCCATTTGCCTTTGTGCTCAGTCATGCACCAGTCCCATTCGCAATGGCTTCAACAAATGAGGATAAAGTGGGTCATTTTGTTGTCAGGACAACAAAAGCACACACTGACCTAGATATGTCAGAGGGAACCTAATCTTGCTCTTGGCACAGACTACGGGGTTCAGACAGTACAGGGGGGTTCCAGCTGGGGAAACACAGCATGTGAACAATCTCAGAATGTCTCCTGTCTGTCTGTGGTACCAAGAACAGCCTTTCCTCAGTGGCTCATGGCAGGTGTCACACCACTGGCACTTAGTTCTGATTACTGGCTGCTGGTGGCAGGTTCCCAGGATGGCTCAATGCTTGTCTGGAATATGGACGGTTTTGAGATGCTGCGCGCCCTTCCTGGGCACCCCAGTAAGCCTTCTCCACTTCTTATGGCTGGAAAGCTTTTTTTCGTGTCTGAAAAGAGCTCTGACAGCTTGGAGATCCTTGAGCTGTACACACAGAGACACCTCCCAGCTGCCAACATTCTCCCAATTGCCAAAAGCACTGCGAATCCCTTGTTTTGTGAATCCCTTATTTTATAGCTGAGGTGAGGTGTGCTAAAGTGTTTGGAAAAGGAACCTGTGCTGTTTCAGCTGCCATGGATCACAGTCTGCATATCTGGAATTTGATTTCTGGCAGAGCAAGGTTTATTATCCAAGACACATGTATCAAAGAACAGCCCTCACATCACCTTCTTGTGGATGAGGGGCACATGATTGTGTATTCTTCCTCAGATACAAAGATATGGCCAGTCTTTAACTTAAAGAGTGCTGAAAGAACAAGATTTTCAGAAGTTACAGCCACAATCACAAAGGTTGTAGACAGAGAAGCTACCTCAGGTCTCGCCATCTGTGAGCAGGAGCCAGATGGAATACACAACATCTGGAGCACCATCTCTCGCCAAAGAAAGAGGTAAACAGCCAGCACAGTCCAAAATGCGCAGAATCTAATTAGGCATCTTTCAGAGCAAAGGAAGCAAGTGGGCTGAATAGCTCTAGGTGCTTCAAACATTTGTTTTAGAGCAAGAAGGCAATGTTTTGCTTTCTAGCATTAGGATGTCAACCTTTGACTTTACTTATGTTTCTGTACAAGTTAGTTAAGGTATATTGTTTGATCTCTTAAATAGGACTAAGGAAAAAGTAGCTCAGGCACTGATGACTTCTCCCCCTGCCCCAACTCTTCTCAGGTGTGGAATTTATCA